GGTATTTACTCTCTAAAGTTTGTAATTCTTCCATATCCATCAGTATCCATCTGTAAGTGTTGATGTTAGGTATTTACTCTCTAAAGTTTGTAATTCTTCCATATCCATCAGTATCCAGCTGTAAGTGTTGATGCTAGGTATTTACTCTCTGAAGTTTGTAATTCTTCTATATCCATCAGTATCTAACTGTAAGTGTTGATGTTTTTGTCGTAAAGTATGATGAACTCGGCGAAATACAAGGATTGTAAGCTAACTTTTTCTTTATAAACTGTATTAAAAAGCTTACATACTGAACTGAAATGAAAAAGTACTAATATGGACATAATATACAAAAGTTGTATGAAAGCTAATGCAGTATTATATAAGCCCAGATGTTTATAGTATAGTAGTTATCTAGACGTTTTATTAATAAATGTTTCAGTATGTTTGTCAAGTCTGTGATTTTACATTTTTGTTGTAATAATAAACAGTAAATATGTTAGATTTATAAAATGTGAAAGAATAATCACTTGATTTATAATTAAAGGTCCTTTTAAAATTATGACTGTCAACTCTATTTTTTATTCATTTTTTGGTTATAAACTATTCCCGTTTGTGAAAAATGTATTTGATTCTTTAGTGAGCTAATAAATTTAAATGTTATAGTGTACAGAAAACGAAGTTTTGAAAGATACAGAAGTAGAATCTCTGGTTTGTCTGTCATTTTATAGAAACGAAAGCAATACTTCTTTTAGCCTTAGGCAAACACGTTACTTGATTTTATCCAAAAGGTCAAACTTTCACAACTTCTCAACTTGCCATCAGCTGTGATGCGTCAGTAATAGGTTGAAATGGTGACCTATCTGTATTTAACGTTTTAGTTTTCGAAATGGTAAGAATATTAATTATTGAACCTATATGCATAAAGCTTCAGTCAGCAAGAAACAAGTTCTAGACAAAGATTTGTGAAAATATATACAGAAAAGTAAAAATATTAGGTCGTCAAGAAATTAATGTCGCGTATTGGAACACTTTCATTAACCACTTCCAAAAAACTAACATCACGTATAATAGTTAAACGAACCACCTAAACGTCACGTTAGTGTAACCTATATAATGTGTAAAGTTTAGTACAATATAATCCCTTATAGTGATGGCACACGACGAGATACACATTCGGCATGTAATG